GAGCTAGAGCGGCTGCGCGCGCTCATCGAGGAGGCCGCCGACCAGCGCGATGAGCTCCAACAGACCAATGCCACGTACGCGGTATGCAGCTTGGGCGCGGCCAAGACGCTTTTCATATAGGCTTCAGCGCAAGATTGCGCCACTGCTCCAGAAGAAGCAAGATTCGGAGAAGAAGGAGGACCGATTGAGCGTCGTCGAGAACGAGAAGCGGTATTACGACTGCCTCAACAGCGTGCACGAGGCGCGAGTGCAGCTCGCGACCGCCCAGACGCAGTACGACCGCATCGCGATGGAGCTCCAGGTACCGCGGCTAGCGCTGCAACTGCCTCAAACATCAACAAAAGGCGCGACTCGACGAAAAAGAGTGCAAAGCCAACGAGATCCACGAGTCTTTCATGGAGTTCAAGCGCGAGGTGGCCCGTAGCGCCGAGAACACGCGCACCGGCAAGCCGATTCCGAAGCGCATCATTGCGCAGTTCGAAGTCGCCGAGGTCAAGAAGGACCAAGAGGTCGAGAAGGTCCGGCTTAAGAACATCAATCTGCGCACGCACTTGCGCAAGCTCGAGGCGCAGCTGCATGCGAAGGAGCAGCTCGCCGAAGGGCTGCACCTCATCGACTTTGAGCAGCTCAAGATTGAAAACCAAACGCTCAACGAAAAGATCGAAGAGCGCAACGAAGAGCTGCACAAGCTCCGGAAGAAGACGACGACGACGGTTCAAGTGCTCACGCACATCAAGGAGAAGCTGCAGTTTGTGCTCGTCGAGAACCAAGCGCTCAAGCACGACCTCTCGGAGCTCGACGAAGAGCTCACCGAGTCGCGCGATGTTCTCACCAAACACAAGAAGGACCGCGACGCGCTGCGCCACACGCAGGCAAAGATGAAGCACCAGCAAGGCTTTGCCAACTCGCATTTGCTCATGGCCGACTACGAGAAGCGCAAGGTCGACATCGAGGACTACCAGGGCCGCCTCGAGCAGCTCAAGCAGCGTCTTGCGTATCTCAACAAGAAGAAAGCTTCGTAAGCACTTAGGAAAATCGCGGAACTGGCAGGCTGCAAAAGCGCGGCTCAGTGTTGGCCTCGAGCGAGAACCCGCGGTTGCGCGCCGACACGTTCTCCTTGTCGTCCTTGCGCCTACGTAACGACATGACATCGGCGCGTCACGCGAACGTTTGGTACCCGTCGCGCGGCGTAAAGCTCAGCAGCGTCGACGCGGCCATGAGCGACGTGTGTGTCGGCGACGTCGCGCCGCGCGCGTCGAGCTCAGTCTGGAACGGTAGCGGTCGGAGCGTTGGCGGGCGGCGGAGGTGCGCGGACTTGAGAAGCTGCTCCTCGAGGCGAGCGACCCGCGCTGTGAGCTCGGATTCGCGCGCTCTCGACTCGGCAAGCTCCTTGCCCAGCTGTTCGTTGCGCAAAATGAGGTACAAAGGCGAGACCTCGAGCATTGGCAATGGGCGATGGTGATGTGTTGGTGGAAAAACCAGCGGCGGCGAGAACGGCGGGCTCCTGTCGGCCGTGGACGTCGCGTCCGAGTCGGTCGGCTCGAGGAGGCGGATGCGCGGGTAGACGTCGTGGCGATGGCGCTTGGCCGGCGGGCCCTCGTCGCTGCGCGCGAGGTGGGTCGGGCACGGACCGCACCAGATGAAAGTGATGTGCTTTCGCCGCGTCTCGGGCTTGATGACGAGGATCTTCTTGATGAGGTTGAGCGAGCAAAGCACGTTGGCAATGTCGTAGATGCGACGCGTTGGCGCTACACGAGCCGTGACCACTCGACAGGACGTCGCGAGTGGCAGCCTACACACGGGGTGCTCGTCGCCGCATGCTGCAATGTCGGCGGTCACGACATGCATGATGTCTTCGAGCACGACGGGCTCCGGTCGTTCCTACACATACAATCGATTTCGCATATCCATGACAAAGATGGGATTGTACCTGGTGCAGAAACACTTGAAGGAAGCGCTCGCTGAGCGCCGTTGCGACGGCTTTCCTCGCGACGGGCGCTTCGTCGGGCGAAGGATGCTGTGGCGCATGAGATAGATGTACGACACGGTTTGGTTGCAAGTACCTTGAGGCGCTGCAGCGTCGCGAGCATGGCCTCGTCGCCGAGCCAGCGGCAGAGGCCGATGCCGACCTTGGCGATGAGCCCGACGCTTTGGATGATGTTCAAGATCTCGTGCAGCCGGCGCTTCTGTGTACCTACGCACTAGCGTCGTCGCAAGGCCTAAAGGCGTGGACGGCCACCTAGTGATTTGGCCGCGTGCACTATGTTGACGGCGTCCGGTGCGCTACGGAGCATATCACAGAACCTACAGCGCCATGAGCCCACGGCCTCGACGAGGCGGTACGTACTTGACGCTGAGAACTGTGATGGACTTGTCCATGCGCTGGAGGTTCGTGTTGCGCGCCGAGCGCTCCTTTGCCGGCGCCAGCAGCATCCTCTTCGCTGCTTCGTGGGCCTTTCCCGGAAGATCGCAAAAGCCGCACTAGTTTTTTTGTCCAACGTCTTGACGTTTGTATGCAGGATTGAAATGTGAAAAAAAAACACAAAAATGGAACCCGGTTGTCAGCTGCAGAGATGATTCTAGTCGACTAACTAAACGATTGCGTCGTACGGGACCAGCATGCCGCCACGTCATGCCATTGGCTCCCTTTCCGGTTACGTTGGAGGTGGTTACGCGTCGATTCTTGTCGGTCGGATGGACCTCATGATGCGGCTCAAGGGCCATGCCTTCAAGGCCATCTCGGACGAGTTCAAGGTGCGCGAGGCGACGCTCGGTGGCGATGGTCTCCCGCTGCAGGACTTTGTCGAGATCATGCTCCGCGCGCTGCCCAAGCCCAAGCACGCGCAGGAGAAAACCGAGACGATCGCGGGCCTCGTCGACCTCTTCAATGACATTGACGTCAACGGCGATGGCACGCTCGAGTTCAACGAGTTTACGTCCTACTGCGTCGACGCCGGCATGGTCGCGACGCGCGTCAAGGTCGCGCCGCTTAAGTACCAGTACATCAAGAACCGGTCGTTCGTGGATCGCACAACGCAGGGCGCGTCAATCGAGAAGCTCAAATGGTGCGCGGACCTCAAGCGCGCGCTCGCTGTCGAGGCGAGCTCGAGCTGCGTCAAGGTCTACGCCGCCGACTTTCTCAAGGTCACTGAAGTGCACCCGAGCAGCCCGCCACTGGCCGTACTCCCGTCCATGGTGGTGCCAGGATCAGGCCCGGGGTGTACGTCGCATGCTGGGAGCGACATGGACCCGAGCAGCAGCCTCGGGAGTCTTCTTGGCGCCAAGAGTACGAGCCACGCCAATGGCTCCGGGAACCACGCGGACGCACTCGTGCTGGACGCTGAGTTTTTGGCGCAGCTGCGACTCCTCGCAGTCTCGTCGTCCAACTTTGTGCTCTCGTTTTACGACACAGACCACTACGAGTACGTCATGGAGAACCAGACGACGGTCGCGCAGACGCTCCTGCGGTGGTGCGAGCCGGCGCGACTTCTCTTCTCGACAGGCAACAACAAGGTGCTCAACGCGTGGAGCGTGGCGCGCGGGCGCATCTCGCTCGTCAAGCAGCTCTACCACCACACCGACGTCGTCTCCGATGTCCTCGCGGTGCCGCAGTACGACCTCGTCGTGTCGTGCGACCTCAAGCGGTACATTTACCTCTGGGACATTCAAGACTGCCGGCCGCGCGGCAGCCTCGTGGGCCACACGCACGGCGTGCGCCAAATGGTATTTTCGCCCATGAACGACCTCTTGGTGACCGCAGGCTTTGAGTTTGACGCGTACGGCTGGGACATTTCGTCCAAACAACGCATCATGACGCTGTCCGGGCACCGCGCGTCGCTCGTCGGCGTCCAGCTTGCCCGGTTCCACACGGAGCGCGCCGTGACCGCCGACATTACCGGTCTCTTCAAGATCTGGAACATCCACCGCCTCAATGGCGCCCAGGCGCAGCTGCTCGAAAGCATTGCGCCGGCATCGACGATCGCGCATTTCAACCCGCGTTCGTTCATTGCGCTCTCGCCCAAGCGCGACATTGTCGCCGCCAGCTGCGTCTTGCACATATTCGAGAGCGTCAAAATCCAAAAGCACGACGAGATCCCGCTCCGCGCGTTCTTCCAGCACAGCAGCAACCAGTTCTTAGGCCTGACCGAGACGAGCGTCAACCTCTGGGACGGCAACACGGGTCTCCTCCTCGAAGAATTCACAGGTTCGTGCACATGCCCTTCGGTTGGTTTCATGCGGGGTAGGGTTGACGCAGAGCAGTTTTGTGCTGTGCTGCCAAGACGCACTCCATCGCAAACTCGTGGTTGCCACCGACGACGGCGCCGTTGAAGTCTACAACTGCACCAACCTCGCGCGCGTTCGCCGGTCCAACAGCGCAATTGGTGCGTCCATTCACTTCTTCTCGACGCGCCGACGTGTCCATCGTAGGGCGCATTGGGTCGTTGCATTACGACTCAAAGAACAAGCTGATCATCGCCACCACGGGGGCGTCGTCGCCCACGGACGCGGGGGGTATCTTTATCTTTGACGATGGTACGGTCGGCGAGTGTGTTCTCTTGCGGTCCCTCGCCAACGTCGAGGTGACAGCCAGCGCATTCAGCGTGAACGCGTCGCTCTTGGCAACTGTTGCTGGCGACCACAGCATTCGCTGCTGGGACTTCGAGACGCTCCAGCTGCAGATCGTGTGCCGAACCGAGACCGGCGACATCCACGTCGTGGCGTTTCTAGACCCTTATCCCGTGCTCGTGGCCGCTGACGGCGTTGGCAACGTCTTCTTCTTCGCCACGTCGCCGCAGTATACGTGCAATACGGGTGGCTGCCTCCACGCCTTTGTCAATACGGGCCCGAGCGCCGACGGAACCGGTCCTTTTGTCGCTATTCCTACGACACGTTAGGCACTCTGTTCGTAGACCATCCAGTGGTTGTGACGACGCTCACGTGTCTGTACCACGAAGACGAAGCCAAGCACGTGCTCGTTACGGGCGACGATGAAGGCCGCGTCGCCGTGTGGGATCTCTCGGTCATGCTCCGGCGGCTGCGATTGCAGGTGCATCCATGCAGCCCCTGCGAAAAGCTCATCGCTTTCAACTAGGCTATTCCGGACGACAAACTCAAGAGCAAGCGCCGGGGGTACAACGCCCACAGCACATTTTCTCGCACGTTTGACGCCGATCGCGTCGGCGAGAACGCGCGACGCCACACAACGCGGCTGCCCGACGACGTCCTGCGACGCGTCGCGCCCAAGCGGGACGGCACCCCCGACGGCAATATTCGCGCGCGGGAACACCACCACGGTGGCACGATTCGCACAGGAGTTTACGTCGTGGCGCATGGCCCCTATTGGTGCAGACAACATTTATTGTCACTGGACCCTAACCCTTTGGTGTAGGGACGTCAAGGACGTGACCCGACTTGCGTCATGGGTCGCGCACGCCGACAGTATCAGCGGCATCGAGTAGGAATATGCCACCGAGATGTATCGCTAGAACAACAACATGTCATTAGAGTCAACGACCGACCCAACGTGCTTATCAGCTGCGCGTTCGACGCGCGCATGTACGTGTGGGACTGGCGCGGGACGTGCCTCGGGTGCCTTACGACCAACGAAGACGTGATGCGGTCGATGCCGTGGCATTTTGTGCGCGAGGACGCCAAGCGGGCGCGCGAGCGACAGGACATCGTCGCCGAGATCGTTGCCAAGCTCGACATGACGCCAGACGAGCGCGAGCGCGCGGCCTCGGAGCGTCGGCAGGTAGCGTTTCCGTCCGAGAAGGTCAACCCACTGCTCCAGACGATGCTCTTTTCACCGCAGCAGAAAATGAAGAAGAAAAAAGATGATTCGAGTCGGCAAGGCACCTTGCACCGCCAAAAGTCCCAGCGCAAGCGGCTGCAGACGCCGGACCAAGTCAAGGCCATTGCTCGGTCTCCCGATCATTTTGCATTTTAGACTCAAAGGACTTGTCTAGGCACTCGAGCTTGTTGCAGGTGGGTCCGCTGATCCACCACGCGCGACCAGTGGCACCGACAGCCGCGGAGGAAGAAGAGAACGAGCACGACGACTCGCCCCATCGATGGAGCCTCGCGGCGCCCGTGCCAGAGACGCCAGTGCCTACGGCACCCACGCTAACGGAGCGACTCCTGCGCCTCGAGCAGCAAGAGCGACTCGTCTCCAAGACCGACGCGGTGTACGTTAACTTGGTGCAAATGCAGCACGACAAGCAGCGTAAAATGTCGGCGGTCAAGCGCAACCTCATGCGCAATGTCGACATCGAGCTCTCTCCGTTCGTGGCGGCAAATCTTGGCCCTGACAAGCCGGCGCCGCAGCGACGACCCAACACTGCGCCGCTGCCCCGCGTGGTGACGCCGCTCAAGCGCACGCCGGCCTCGCTTACAGTGCTACCAGCGTCACACAATGACCGGCTTCGGCGGCTCACGACAATGCGCACGTCGTCGTCGGCCGCTGTCCTAGCCCTGCTCGCCCAAGAAGAGGCCAAGGACGCGACCGCCACGCTCGGGAAGCTCACGCGCATCAACGACATCATTTCAACAGCGTCGTCGTACATAGCCCCCGATGCAAAAGCACCGTCGTCGCATTCACCGATGGCGTTCTCAACCGACGAGCAAGCCGTGTTGCGATCGCACGCGGTGGCCACCCAGGAGCGGTATATATATTTCAGAGAGGCATAACGTTGACTTGCGTTGCTCTAGATACGAGGCAACGATGCGCGTCGACGGCAAAGATCTAGCGACGCAGCTCAAGCAGGCGCGCTTGCAGCAGACAAAGCTCGAGAAGGAAAAGCGCATGCAGCGCTACATGGCGCAAAAGCAGCGCGACGCGCACGCCAAGATCGGCGAGGCGCTGCGGCACACGTCGGTGCTTTTTGCGAGCGCGCCGACGACCGACGTTCTCGCCGAAGCCGCCAAGCAGCGCCGCTTTGGCATCTACTCGACGAAAGAGGTCATGGTCATCATCCGCCTTTTCTGGGCACTCGACTCGGACAACTCGGGCAATGTCACCGAGATGGAGCTCAATGGCTGTCGCGGCTTCTTCGAAAGCATGGGCTACACGGACATGGCGACGATCTTCCAAACCATTGACGCCGACGCGTCCGGACACGTGACGCTCGCCGAGCTCTTCAAGATCTGCTTTGCGTATGCTACGTCGGCCGAGATCCACGAGATGGTCATGCTCGAGCGCCTCGGTCGCGCGCCGACCATCTTCACCGAGGACAAGTCGCTCACGCACGAGCAGATCGCCGAGCTGCGCGAGATTTTTACTGTCTTTGACCGCGATCGCAGTGGCACCGTGTCGTTCGCCGAGGTTCTCGACGCTCTTCAGTACCGGCACGACGACGACGACACGGGCAGCACGCTCGCCGACCTCGCCAAGCTCTACGAGGCTGCTGACAACGACGGCAATAAGGAGCTGAGCTTCGACGAGTTTGTGCAGCTGCTGCAAGAGCTCTATCGCGACAAGCCAAAATAGCGTAGAGTATTGCCATATTAGTGTCGTCAAGGAGCCTACGAAAGGGGCACGACGTCGATCGGGTGCACCATGAGGCCGTGCGACGGCGCGCATGTAAAGTACGTGTGGCCTTTCAGCGTTCCGTCGTTCTTGCCAAGCGGCTCGTCGAGGACGACGCCGACGAGGTCGCCCTTGGCGTAGTGCACCGGTCCCACGTACGCGACACGGCCTTGGAGCTTGCCGAACACAAGGACGCGCTCGTCTAACGTCAGGGTCGGGTACGATGACGGCTTGCATGGCGCGGGCGCCGGAGGTGGCATGGTGGGAGCTGCCGCCGGGGCGCTGGGCACTTTGGAGGTGGCCCGTGCAACGCGCACGGCTCCCTTCCGTCGCGCTGAGTCATATACGGCATGAGGAATCACAGCCAACAGCAAATTGTTTGTACGTGGCATGCCGACACGTAGCCCGCGCTTCTTGCTGCCCCGTGCGCTACAATGCCCATAAGATCGGAGTCTGGCAGCGGCGAGGAGGAGACGCACTGTGGCATCTTCATGTCCATAAAAGCCATCGACTGCATGAAGCTTGCAAGGTCGCCGACTAGCCAAGGGTTGATGAGAACATTTGGTATCTCGTTGCTCCGCTACGATCGTCAAAGTCGTCCCCCATGCCGTCAAACATGGACCCGTCCATGCCCATGGAAGCCATGAATTCGAGCTCTTCGTCGTCCCTAGCAGCAATCATCGTCAATGCCAGTGCAAGAGCGATGAACGCACAGCTCGCTAGGGTCAATGCCGCCGAAGAACATGTCTTCAAAGTTGAATTCAGGCTGGCGTCGCCGGCGTCCGCCCTTCTTTCCCCGGCCCATGCTGCCAAACATCATGTCGAACATGTGGAACATCTCCTCGACGTTGATGTCCATGCCAAAGCCACCATCACCATGAAGCTCGTCTTGGTTGGACTTGGGGTCCGAGATGCGCTTGTACGCCGCGCTAATGGCCTGGAACTTGGCCGTCGTGTCTTCGCCCTGGTTCTTGTCCGGGTGGAACTTGAGCGCCAGCTTCTTGTAGGCTTGGCGCACGTCGTCCGGCGAGGCAGACGTCTCGAGGCCGAGCGTCCTACGCAGCGTGAGTGGCGCCGGCGCAGGCGCGGCTGTACCGGTACGCATCAGCGAGCTTCATGGCGGAAATCTGGAAATGGAACCTTGGAATCTTCCATGCCGCGTTGCGATTGGTCAAAAGATTTCGACGTTCTTGTTCCATTGATTGGGTAGAATAATGCCAATCAAGGCCCTGGATTGGCTAAAATGCTTTTACTTTCCTCGAAAGGCGGATACCATTCGCCGCTTCAGTGTTATTTTGACCAATAATTAGCGAGAACAATGCCAGCAGCCCGATTCCAGGGCGGTCGCAGCGCCAAAATTGCGTTGGGAAATGAAATCGCCCTATCGGGGCACAGGGGTAGCTGGCACTTTCGAGAGCATAATTCACCAAACCGCGTTGCCGTGTGAACAGTACTGCACGACTACTAGCATGTCAAATTATTAAATGTGGTATATGCCATATGTAGCCACAGTTTGCCACATATAATCACACTCGACCAGTTCCAGATCGATCGGATCGCCAAACATCGCCGAAAAAATTAGGGTCCGGGGGAGTGGGCTGGTAGGAACGATGAAATCATATGGATTATGCCATGTTGTCGGCGACTTTGGCCTTCACGTCGTCGACGGTCACGTCCATCGTCGTACGGGGTGCTCGGAACCGCTCGAAGCCAGATGATGACAATGGGCATGCAGCAGCGTTCCAATTCTGGATGAGCGCGTGGCGAATCACATCCAAAGCCTCGAACTCGGGCGGTGCCCCCGTGAGAAAGTAGCTCGCAAGGCCGAATCGCAGCCGTAGAGCCGCAATCTTTGACCGAGTTGCGGACCGCTCGAAGAGACTGAAAGGCACAGCGGAGCCCACCATGCTCAAAATGCGCGACACCCGTGCGTTGATCTTCTTTGCCTGTGAGCTGTGCGGATTGTCCCAAATGAGTTGTTGTCGAAATTTGGGCGAGTTCGCAAGCTTGCCGAGTTCCTCCAGCTGCTTCATGGAAGTTGCACCAATGCGCGCCGTCTGGCGCACGCAGGCGTGTCGTTCAAGCTGGTTGAACGCCGTGGCAATGAAGAGAGGATCGTCGAAGCGGCCGTCGTAAAAGCGGAAGAAGTGACGCAGTAGCGCTGGATTCATGCTTCCTTTTGGAGCTCCTATAGTATAGAGCAGCATGAACGCATTGTTGTTGGATGCATTGTGCCATACCTTTGCCGAGCATAAACAAATGGGGGAAAACACATGCCACAAGCGCGTCGTTTAAGCATCACTCGCAAATCGGATCGTCGCCGCTCGTGACGACAGCCACCAACGGGTCGCTAGTGCTGCCTGGAGCTTGGTTATCAACGTCCGTGCTACCAATGTGCGGCGACCGGAGGACATCGACTTGATCGTCGCTTGTATTGACGTGCCCGTATTGGTCGTCATCAGACGCGCGCTCGGTCACTAGCCCAGCGACAGCCTCAAGCGCGTTGATGATTTCGTCGTCGTCGTCGGCGACATCCGGCCCATCGCAAACCTCGTCGTTGTCGATGGTGTCGTCTGGGCACACAATGTCGCAGAATGCATCAAGGTACGCATAGACTGTCTTGTTGACGGCAGACACTTGGGCGAGGACAGCCGAGTATTCGAGACTTGGAACCGATGCGATCCGGTCATATGCAGTGGCCGGTTGCGTGGTGCGTGCAACGAGAGTGCCTCGTTGCACGAGGCACATGCAGCGATGCGCCCGGATCCGGCATCTCGCTGGCGTCTCCTGACAGCGTGCAGCGTCTGCCTAACCAACTGCATCCCCAACAGCTCGCAAGATGCGTTCGCAAACTGCGTGACCACCGGGGCCGTTAAGTGACTCGTCGTGGCACACATGAGCGTCGGGTTGCCCGAGCAGAAGTGAAAGGCTGCGATCGCTAGTTTTTGGGTACTTGGTTAAGTTTTGCGACGCTGCGATCTTCTAGCCGCACGACCTTTTCTCCGTGCGTCTCGGTGGCCTTCTCGACGGCGCGCGCAGTGGTTTTGCTAAGGCGCTGCTTTTCCAGCCGAGCTGCTTTCTCTTCGTGCGTCTCGGTGGCCTTCTCGTCGGCGCGCGCCTTGCGCTTGCGCTCATTCGATTCTCGCATGTTGCTTAAATGTCTAGCTACGGCTGCACGGTCGGTCAATGCACACATCATGGCGCCGGCCCACCGGCCCCCAGCCTGGCGCCGGCCTGTCAAAACGCATCAATGAATTGTTGCGAGCTGTCCAATCATTTTACGCAAGCAACAACATTTTAACCAATCCAAATTGGGACAAACAAACAAACAAACAAACAGGCAAATAATCCCTGGTGGGCTGGGTAACCAGGAGGTTCCTACCAGTATAAAATCGCCCTACTTTGACACAGCGGTAGCCAACACTTTCGAGGACATAATGCACCATGTCGCGTTCCCATGTGAGCCGTATTACTAGTTTCGCAACAGACTAAATTCACCTCACTTTAATATCCCGTGCCGAAAAGCACTGCTTGTACCCTGAATACGAAGAGAGGTGGCTGGTGGCTCTAAGCACATGCAATACGCCTTATAGAGTCATAGTTGCGGTCCAAGCACTGCCGCGCGCACTGGGCCGATTGTGCTTCTGACATTGGCAGGAGTAAAGTTGCGTGTTTGCATCCCACGCCGCCGCTCGTACACACATTCTGGCTCCCTCGCATGACGTTCCGCTGCCGGTGAGGTCAATGGGCTGCAAGACAAGCCCGACGAGCACGCGTGGCAGTAGCCAAGATAGTCTTCCGGGTATCATCCGGATGTCTAAACTTGCGGCGATCGGCTCTTCCTGCTTCAGCAGGTTCTATGCTTTTCTCTTCTCGATACATCGGCATCTTCCTGTCATTTTGCTCCATCCAACCCCAAGAGGCGCGGTGGACGCACCAAGCGCACCTCTCCACGGCTGCTTGCCGCGACTTGACCGTCGACGAGCAGCCAAAAGCAATGTGTGCTTCGCCTACCCGAACGTCTTTCTTCCCGACACATGCCCCAGAGCGACCCATGTATATGGTAGTATGGAGCGTTGCGATATCTTTGCCGACCGCCAAAGTACCAGGAGCAAACGGTCGACGGTCAATATGGATCGAACCTATCTGTGGCTCGTTGGTTTGGTTTGAAAACACAATAGAAACGGTTTTGCGACGGGTCAAAAATGACGGCGGCCAAGACGCACATGCTCCGAACGCGTTATCCGGCACCCACTCTCTTCCATTCGGCCTTTGCGCCAACAACTTGTGTCAGCAGAGGTCGCTTCGCGACTTCGCGCTCGGAGGCATCAGAAACACAAAGCAGAGGCTTGCAACAAGGCAATTACAGAGTATTAAAAAGGTGGCGCCCAATCCAGTGGCTTAGCAGAAATGAACGTGGCGCGAGTTGAAGGCGTTGAGCAAGCTACAAAGTCAGCATGAGCTTTGAGCAGACATAGGCGTAGCAGTGGTACATGAGGAAGTCATCGAGGTCTATCTTGGCGCCACACTTGTCGCTGTAGTCGGTCTCCGTGAACGTCGCCTCGACGAGCGTCTTGATGTCAAAAGCGGGGTCCGGCATCTACGTTCACCATAAGAACTCGTCTGCGAATGGGCTACGATAGTACCAAACTGTTGAGCGAGCAGTACGTGCGGTAGTTGTCGTCGAGGGTCTTGAGAACTTGGTCGTAAAGCACGAGTGCAGCGTCTTGTTCTTGCGGTTGAGATGATCTTCACCATCCCATCCCACTCCTACTCGACATCTGAGCACCCAAAATGGAAACAGGAGCGAGAGTACCGTAAAGTTGACGGGCGGCGGCGAGTTCTTGGGCTCGATACGCACGACGCGCGACTCGGCCTTGGGCGGCGGGCGGAAGTTGTTGCGGCCGACCTTGATGAGCTGATCAACCTTGGCAAGGAGCTGCGTGTTGACCGAGAGGCGGCAGTAGAGTTCGTCACCGGGGCGCGCGCTCAACCGCTTCGCAAATTCCTCCTGGAACATGACGACAGCGCAGCGGAACATGGGGCGGTGGGCGAGGAGCTTGAAGACGAACGGCGACGAAATTTGGTACGGCAAGTTGGCCACACACACGTCGAAGAACGGCAGCTGGACCTCGATTGCGTCGCCGTGGATGATGTGGAGGTGGTTGGCGTGCTCCGTGTTCTGCACACGCTTTTGCACCTCGGCAATCAAGCGCGGGCGGCGGGCGGCGGGGGCCGAAAGTCGGAAACGGGCCAGAACGCTCCGACGGTCGAAGTGGTTTGCCCGCGTGGGTCCCAACACCAGAGCAGCGAACGCGGCCAACCGAATGGCGCGCACGCCGCTGGGAAATCCGGCGACTGGCGGCACGTCGGTGGCAGTGACGGCCGAAGTCGCTCGGAGGAGAGGCAACCTGATTGACCTCGGCCAACTCGAGAGCCGCTAGAGAGCACGACCGATCGAGTGATCACCCAAAGACCGCCACGTTGAGCCAGTCGAGACCCTCACCAAC